ATCGATAATTGGCCACCACCATTTTCATCATATATGACGGAATATAATGAAAGAGATTTTGATAGAATTGTTAAACGTTCGTGCAAAACAAAGGGTTTAACTTTAAAAATCTCCAAAGCAATTGTAATTGGAGATGTTTCTGTTGGAAAATCGTGTTTAGTAAATCGGTAAACATGAAATAAATGTTAATAAACACGTGACATATTTTTAATTTTTAAAATTTACAAGAATGAGAAGAATGTAATCCCATTTGTATTTCAGGTTTTGTCACAAAGTATTTGATAATAACTATAAAGCAACAATTGGAGTAGATTTTGAAGTAGAAAGGTTTGATATTCTCGGTGTGCCTTTTCACTTACAAATGTACGTACACATTCAGTTAAACATTTTTCCCAATTAAATATCGTGATAATTCTCAAGTAAAATTAATATCGGCACAATTTTACATACTTTTTCCTAATTACAAACATGCAATAAATTTTCATAGAAAAAAAAGATTTGCTGTTTATTTTAGATGGGATACTGCTGGTCAAGAAAGATTTAAATCCATAGCTGCATCTTACTACAGAAGCGCAAACGGTATAAAAAATTTCTATTATTATTCGTAAATAAATTTGTACTTACATATAATGAATATAAAAGTATAATGATGAAAAACGTTGTGTACGAATGTGTTTCAGTGATCATAATTGTTTTCGATTTGGCCAATTTGATATCTTTAGGACACTGTCAACAATGGTTAAACGAAGCCGCTCGAAGTAACGCAAGATCATACCATATATTTTTAATAGGCACAAAACGAGATTTACTGGTAAACTCTATATCATTTATTTACGCCATAAAAAAATAAATTAGCAAAAATGTTTTGCAGTTTCAAAGTGCATTTCAATTTTATTAAACAAAATCATGTATTATAACAATTTAATGTGACAAAGAAAGTTGAAAAGAAGAATTAAGTATTATATAATCTTTATTTTTAAAGATAGTAATACTTTTATTATGCTACTTTGTTATATTAATTTTATACACTATTATCCATGAAAATTGTATCTACTCACATTACTTTATTTCATTCCTTAATTGTATTGTTAAAAAGAAAAGTATTATGTCCAGTCTAATCAGGTATATGGAATAATGGAAAAACGAGCTGCCGAGGTGGCGCGAAAAATGGGAGCTGAATTTTGGGCTGTTTCTGCTCGAACAGGAGACGGAGTATCAGAACTATTCAAAAGAGTAGCTGTGTTATCTTTTCATGCCATGATTTTGGATGAATCGCAAAATATGGAACCGAAATCGATTAACATTGGCTCAGATTTAATAAGTGTGTAGCGTTATTAAAATACAACTATAAACTAGACATGAAATATGTTGTGTGAATGTTTAT